GCGGTTTAGGGTTTTGGGGTTTCGGGGTTTAGCGCCCAAAGCTACCCCAAGCACAGCTCTCAACACCTCGGGCCGAAAAACATGTGAGCATGCCTGTGCATTGAATGATGGAAGCATTCAGCAGAAGAGAAGATCGGAGACAGCTTCACGCCTTCAAAAGCGAACTCTAGGCCAACGTTTTGATACACATACTTGCTGCTTGGTGGTCCAAAGAGAATGGAAACTAGGATAATAATGGAGAGGTTTAGGGTTTAGGGTTAACTAACATTAAGTGTTTTGTGAGATGCCACCTGGCCACTAATCCCTGGACCCCTAAATCATCGCAGCTTCCATTTCATGTTCCATTCTTGTTTCCACTCGGTCCTTTAGTCATATGACCTATGGATCCCTGTCGTAGTTCCTAGTAGTGTTCATGTCATGTATTGGGATGACATCCAACATATCCCTATATAACCCTACATAACCTCTCTAATTCCTATGATCCTTCATACATGCCTGAACCCTACGCCTTACACCCTAAGCTTTAGGGTGTAAGGTTTGGGGTTCAGGCATGTAGGAAGGAATATAGGGCCCTAAACCCTAAAATTCTACACTCTAAAACTCAAACCCTAAGCCTTACACCCTAAGACCTAAACCCTAACCCTTACCTAGACCCTAAACCCAAAGTCTTGGTAGGCCAAGCGCTTCGGGGCCACAGCCGGGATGAGGGCTGCCTGCCTATACGGTGGCGCGCCCAAGGGCCCGCAGCTGGCAGAGCTGCGGCAGAGGCGGAGCAGCATATGAGCCATAGCCTAACCTCCTTAAATGGGGGTTATATGGGGGATAATATAGGGGAGTATTATAGGGCTTATTACGGGGGATACCAGGAGTTTAGAGAATGGCTCATATGTCCGAGAACTACTATAATGGGGTCATGTTATCCCCCAAGAATGGAGAATCAAATGGAAAAGCAAATGGAACATGAAACGGAAACAGGGGTTTAGGGTTCAGGGGCCATTGGGATAATATTAGGGGTTATATAGGGATGATGGAAAAGAAAATGGCAACTACTATGATGGGTTTATATAGGGTTTAGGATTTAGGGCTTACTGGGCTGATGTGAAGGAACTTAAGTTAAGTTACAGCTTGTCCAGGTGATAGTAAGGAAGCCTTATCATTTACCATATCACGAATAAGTTGGTAACTTCAATTTAAGTTCCTTCACAGCAGCCCAACCCTAAACCCTAAAACCCTAAACCCTAAACCCTAAACCCTAAACCCAAGGTTCACGGAGTAGGGCCTAGATTAAGGCCTGCGTGCGCTCGGGTTGAGGAGTCGGGCGCTGTCAGGCGTTGATTGGAGTTTAGGGTTTAGGGTTTAGGGTTTAGGGTTTAGTGGTCAAGCTGAAGCCTCAGGTCACGTTGCTCATCCGGTAGTTTCCCCATAATAGGGAGGACCTCAATATAGACCCCCAAATACAATAACCAAACCCTTATTCATGGGACCCCAAGCAAGTACCCCTAAATTTGGGAAACTACGTCAGTTCCCAAAGACCTATCCCAGGCTTAGTTTTTGAGCCAGCGAATTGGACCTACTGGGGCTTGGTAGGGAAGAAGGGAATATACCATGCAGGGTTTAGGGCTATAGTCCCCCTTAAGTAGATAGAATATGGGGTATATGGGGATCTTATTATATTATGCCCAAAGCCACATTCTACCTACTTAAGGGGGACTATAGTTCATAGACCTGAACAAGCATCCTGACCTCCGCTGTTATTGGCGCCATTGCTATTCTTGCTCCCTCAACAGATGTTTAACATTAGGGGGTTTCCCGCGGTCCCCGCAATAAGGACTGTAGTATTTTGGGGTAGCATTCTTTGGAAATGAAGAACCGCCCGTGCCAGGGATTTGGGAAACATTGTCGCCCAGGATTAGGTCTAAGAACTAAACCCTAGAACTCTAAAACCCTAAACCCTAAAACCCTAGAACCCTGAACCCTAAATCCTAAACCCTAACACGAAAACCCTAAATCCTATACCCTAACACTAAAGCCCTAAACCCTAAACCCTAACACTAAAACCCTAAATCCTATAACCCCACATCCAATGAACCCTTAGCCAGACATCGCCATCCTTAAGCCTAGGCAAAAATTAGGGTTTAGGGTTTAGGGGTTTAGGGTTTAGGGTTTAGCGTAGCAGGCCCTGTAGAATTTGGAGGGGCTCCTGACGGCACCGTCATAATTTCATTTTAGGGCAGCACAAATCCCGCTTACAGCTACCCTGAACCCTACTAACATCTTAAACCCCAAAACTCTACGAAACCTTCCAACCCTTAAGCCGAGAACCGCCCATTACACCGAACGCTGGAGGCCCCAGCTCCTGGTGGCGACACCCGGGCGCCTGAATGACCTCTTGGAGCCACCACCAGGCTTGCAGAGCTCTGTCTGATTTCTATTTTGTTTTTTAAATGTTTGGTTGTTCTAGTGAGGTAGGGTTACAGGGCTACTCAGTGGCTTAAGCTGTAGCACTTAAGGTTTAGGTTTGAGTCTTCAGGCTTAGGCTATACAGTTTGGATTTTTGAAGCTTTTGGGTTTCTAGGCCCTAGGCTTTGTTTGGTCTTTGGCTCTTGAGGCAACGGACATGGGTTGCTGGCAGGGTTCCAAAGATCCAAGTTTCAAGGACCAGCTGCTAGTGGTCTAGGAGCCACCTCTAAGTTCTATGGTTACTAAGCAGCCACAGAAGCTGCCCCAGCTGTCCCAGATACAGGCACCCTGCCTACATGAGCACATGAACCGAAACCCTAAACCCTAAAACGTCTTACATGCACCCCTGTCTATGCAGGCTTGTCCGTAGCAGTGGATGTGAAGTCTGTCCGCTACCTGGTCCTGGACGAAGCCGAATCTTGGCATGAATTTTCGCTTGGCAAAGTACCAACCCTCATCCCTACTATTACTATTATTATGATTACTACTGCTATTATTAGTAGTATCATTTTTACCACTATTATTACTATTGTTTTTGATGCTGTTATTTATCTATCATTTTTATCATGAATACTAGTATCATTGTTATTATTATTTCTAATATGCTTATACAGCCCTTAATATGACCCCCAATATAGATTCTTAATCCTTACCTCAGACTACCAACCTTGAGAGGCAGTAGGTCTTTTTACATTGCTTAGGACCGCATGCTGGATATGGGCTTCGAGCCCCAGATCCGAAGAATCATTGCGGGGCTGCCGCAGGACTTTGCGGCTACTGCAACATCGCTGGGAACCCTAAACCCTAAACCCTATATTCCCATTATAGCAGTAGTTTCCATTTTCTTTTCCATTATCCCTGTATAGTAGTTTCCACGTTCTTTTCCTTTATCCCTATATAACCCCATTATTATAATGGTTTCCATTTTCTTTTCCATTATCCACACATTATGACCACTATATAAACCCCACACCCTGAGGGGACAGCATGGCTTGAGGTGTTTCCCAGAGAAAAACCATCCTTGCATGATTCCATGCACTCAGAGTCCAACAGATGGCCAGAGCTCGCCGCAATTATGTAGGGTTTAGGGTTTGGGGTTTAGGGCTTAGAGTTTAGGGTTTATGGCTTAGGGTTTGAGGTTTACGGTTCAGGGTCTAGGGTTTGGAGTTTGGAGGTACAAAAACAAAAGAGGATGCTCATTGTCTCCGCACAGGTGTACTATTTTGATCTTGCAATAAGCTGGACGGCTCTGGAGGACGAGCAGAGTGAATGTTTGAAAACTTGCCCACCCAGCCAATATATACCTTATGATAATATGGCAGTGTCCATTTCCATTTTCATTATCCCTATACGACCTTATTCAGAGTTTTTGGCTTGTGCTGTGCTGGTGCGCAATGCTTTGGCTGAAACAAGATAATCATGGCGAAGCGTGGTGGAAAAAATGGCACCACGGTATTACTGCTCGCGGGCCTTTGGCTTCGTCTGGCTGGGTCTCGCTGGGCTCTCGCGTTGCCAGCGGCCAGCAGGGCTGGTGCCCTGAAGCGCCTCCACGCTGGCACCCTGAACCTGAAGGTCGGGGATTTCTTGAGCCGCTGGCAGTTGATTGTGATTCCGTAGATTCTATGGACATGGAGGTTCTTGTTCAGGTGCCGTGAGTAACTTGTCTGATGGCGTGTTTTCAGTGGTGCGCTTGTGCCTGCTCGTGCCAGCTAGAACTTTGAAACTCGAGGCCTCAGCAACAGCAATGGCTTCTGTGATCCTGGCTACCCGGGTGTTGCACGCTATGCGCTCATGTCAGACATCCTCCAATGAAGACGTGGAACGCAGAACGACAAAGGCACGTTGCGGGAGCTTGTGTTCTTGCTGGTTTGGGTAAGGCGGGCTGTCTGTGAAGGCTCGCGGACTGGAGCATTTTCTAGGCTGTGCCCCTTGCTGCAGGCCGAGTGGCTGCAAAGGACAGCTGGCGAGATCAAGGAGTTTGAAGTGGAGCAGGCACTTTGCGATGTCTTTTGCTTGAGCTTTGAGTCCGCGTTGCTTTCAGGTACGTGATTGGGCGAAAGCCGTGCTGAAAGCAAACCTTTCGACGAAGCGAAGGCAGCGGCCCAGCGGATGGAAGACGAGGAAGTGACAGCTGCCATGCTCTCCTGTTTTATTGTTGACAACGCGGATTTAAGGCCTAGCAGGCTCGTGACTGGCAGGCCGTGTTGGGGTCACTTGAAAAGTTGCAGCACAGCCTTTCGTGAGGACGACCCGAACGCCACGGAGTTCATCCGGGAGCTGGCCAAGGCGACGCCACAGGACTTGGGTGAAGGCCGCTTGGGGGCTTGGGGTGGATTATCTCTTTTGTCGGCGCCACTGTTGCAGGTGTGCAGGTCTTCCACCTCATGAAGACTTTGCCTGTAGAGCCCTACGGCCAGAGCGGGCCAAGACTGTTAAGCTGCAGTACAATCCGCCGGGCCTGAAAAGGCTCCTTCAAGCTCATGCAAGGCGGTATAAAGCGCGTGGCCATGTTGGGCGTCCCGGGCATCGGGAAGAGCCGCAATTTGGCGCTGGGCCTCTGGCACGGGGTGACGGGCTGGGAGCTAGACGGCATTCGGCAGCCCGAGGCGATCGTGTATGAACCTCGGGAGAGCAGCACAGTCTTCCTTTTCACCAAGGGCCAGGGTGGCCAGTGGAAGGCGCAGAGCCAGTCGCTGCATACATGGGATTCTGCCGCCTGCCCGTACCTGAAGCACCCCAAGAACTGGTATTTAGTGGATGCTTTCGAGACAGCCACCCTCACCTTCAAATTGGGTGCCAAGACTTGGCTCGCCTGCACCCTCGATCGCAAGCACTACTCCAATCTCGTCAAAGACGGAGGCCAGTGCGGAAGTGCTCTGCGCACCTTTCGGGCTGACGAGCGGATCTACAACGACGCCGTCCAGCTGCAGAGGGCCGAGGCAGAGGACTTCACGACCGTGACACGTGCCTTTGAGGGTGATTTGAATACCTTTGAAGAGAAGAAGATGCCGACCAGGCTCTTCACGTACCGCAGCGTCGATGGGATCTCACGCAATGTCTCCGTCTGCTCTCCCGGTGCTGCTGCGCTGCTCGTCGAGGAACACTATGACAAGCTCGTGCCGCTGTGGAGCAATGTAGCCAAGCCAAGGTCGAGGTATTGGCTCGAGGACTTTGTAGGCCCGCTTTTGACAACCTTTTGGCCGGGCACAAAAAGGCTTGCAGCCTTTGAAGTCCTCAATGCGGCAACTGCGAAAAAGCCCAATTGGAACCGCAGCCAGGGCAAAGGCGTGGAGGTTAAGGAGGGTTTGCAGGTTCTAGAGTGTGACACCGAGCAAATCTTCGATGACAGATGGCAGAAGGCTGTGAAGAAAGGCAGTCTAAAGGGACGTGTTCTGCACAGCTCAGAGAATTGCCCGGGCATCGATTACCTGCTGGAGTTCAACCACGGCATCTGCGTGACGAGCTCCCTCAAGCATGACATCGCAAAGGCGTTTCATGAAAAGTTGGAGGAGACGTTCAACAACACTGAGGCAAGACACAATTGCACTGAAGAAAGCCGCGGCTTCACTCTCACGTTTCTCACTACAGGAGATCCTCAACAATTCACACCGAGCAGGGGCGATTTCAGCGCACTAATGGACATGGCGGGTCCAAGAAAGTTGTTTGACAATGTTTGTGTACAGGTCGTGCAGATTCCGCAGAAGCTCAATAGCCTGAGGTGAAAACTATGCTGCGGAGAGATATGAGCCCTGGGCCCCGTACAGTCACTACTATAATCCTTATATGAATTGTAGTCTAAACTCCTTCCTTAAAAGGGGTCATATCGGGCATTATGGAGGGGAGATGAGGGGAGTATTATAGGGGTGACTAAACGACTTGGAGTTTGGATTATAGCTCATATGATCGTTTAAGGGGGCCGGCACTCAACCTCATGCCCCTCATCGCCCCTGGAGCCTGAAACCTAGGCCCTCAAACCCAGCCGAGTCTGCAAACCTAAGCCCTGAGCCCCTAAATCAGTATCGGGTAGTCATCCATTTCTCTTGTTGTTCTTCAAAAGATCCTAGTTTTGCGGCCTTCAAAGTTTCAAAGTACCACTCAGTTATGGGAAGCCCTTATAAACCCAACATGCCTGGCAGATCCCTCTCCCCTGAGAGGATCGACAGACGGTGATGTTCACCGCCACGTGGCCTCTCTCGATCCGACGCCTGGCAGCGGACTTTCTCCGAGATCCAGCGGAGGCCACCAAACATGTTGGGGGTGAGTTCGACTGGGAATTTTTTCGAATAGGGAGCCCTGACAGGCCCTTTAAGGTGAGTTTCGACTCTCTCTCTCTCTCTCTCTCNNCTCTCTCTCGCTCTCCCTCTCTCTCCGCGCCTCCAATTACACAGACCTTACGGACCTAAATAGCAGGAAAATGAGGGGCCCCAACTAAAGACAGTGGCTTCCTTGGGATCCCTCTTGAATTCGATCCTCATAGGGGGAGCCTCTGTTCCGAGAAATTGCCATGTCGTTGGTCAATGGAGTGCAAACTTACCACCTGTCTGGGATTTTCGCGGCCCTGGAGGGCTTGAAGAGGACGATTGGGGCTGGCTCAAGCATTTTGGCGGGAAGATCTGTCTCTTCAATGAAGGCTGAAGAGAACCTAAATTTGTTCCAGCGAGCGATGCTGATGACCTTGGGGAACCCGGCCTCTAGGGGCATCAGTTGAGTCAACAGCCAAGGTTGGAGCATTTAAGGACTTGCGGTTCCAGTGCTTCTTGTTTTTGAACCTGAACCAGTGCTTCCAAAATCTGCCAAAGAATTGTTGTCTGAACTTGATTGACCTGGGGTGTCTCTTCCCGTTCGGTTGCCCTAACCCGGAACCGCGTAGACTAAAGTCCCTGAATGCAGTCCTTTTTCTAGAGCCTTCTGCTTCCAGTCCAAAGGTCCGCGCCGGCGAGGTCGACGAGCTGAGAGTGCTTGTCCTGGATGCGGGCAAGTGTGGGGAGAGCTCACTGTGCAAGGAAGCGGGAGATATTGGGGCTTGAGGCTGATGTGGAAAGTAGTGTGGTACGTCGTGAGTAGTTCCGTAATGGTTCGGCTTGCAGCCTGAGCAGTTCAGCGAAGAATGAATCTAAGGGCTGCCGTCAAAGCTCTGCTTACACTTCCCCCAACCCGTGATGGGGAGTACTACACAGCTCCATTCCCGCGTTCCCGGCCAAGCATGAGTAAGTTGAGCCCGAGAACGTAAGATATGAAGTAGGAGATTGGATCTAGATGATTTGGGTTCGTCTGCGGAACCTGTGACCCTTTCAAGACTGCCTATGCAGTTGTCCAGAGCTCAAAACACCACATCCAGGCGCTCGGATACAGGCGTTGAGAGCGCAGGGGTTCAATTTCTTAGGTGGCTGCTCTGATTTGCCCTGCATAATACTAGTAAGAATTTCTAGGAATAGTCATAAAAGTAATTAATATTATCAACTATAGTCATAACAGTAACAATTAGTAACAATAGGCATAAAAGTAGTTAATAATATCAAATAAGAGGTACAATACTATTAGTAATAGTACCGGTAATAGTGATGCTCAAGGCTGCGCCGCCTTGGCTTAGACATAGGCTCACTGGGGGCTAGCTGGGAATAAGGGACTATACTATATAGGGTTTAGGGTTTAGGCTGTTAGTGGGGAATAAGGGAATACATGATGAAGTGTTACTGGAAGAGAACATGGAAACTACCATATTATGGAGGGCATATAATATGGGGATTATCGGGATAGTGGAGAAGACAACGGAAATTACTGTATCATAATAGAGTATATCTTGGGTTAATGTAGGGAATAAGGGATATGTTATATAGGGATTATGGAAAAGAACATGGAAACTGCATATCTTGGGGGAATTGTAGGGAACAAGAGAATATATTATACAGGGGCTGTATAGGGATTACAGTCCCTTGTTCCCCATGAACCACCAGTGAGTAGTGTTGCCGGGACAAGGCGATCCTTATAAAGTTAATTGAGTAATTAGTGTATTTTCTTAGCAGGTCATATAATTTCCAATAATTGAAGAGTAAGATGATATCCTCTTTTCGGTAATGCTAGCTTACAAACAGATAGCCTTATTTGCTTCAACCACCAAAGAACAAATCAAGTGGTGTGGCTCAGGTGAACCCAGACATCACTCAGAACGTTGTGTTCTGCTCAGAAGCTGGCCAGAATATTGACTCCCTCTGTTGAACCATTCTTTAACCCTAAGCCCTAGACCCTAGAGGTAACTTAATGTTTCCAGTGCCATCCGATACGCCCCAAAGGATTCCTAAGGCAGTACCTGCGAGGTTTAGGATTCATAGGGCTTAGGGTTTAGGGCTACATCTCGTTCAGGGTACACTGTTTCCAGAAATCCAGTGGGGCAGCTGACTACAGTGATGTTCAACCGTTCAACCCCTGAGATAAGGATGCCATCGTTTTGATCACGATTGGGCCAACCACTTTTGGCGAGGGAGGCCCTAGCTGAGTCCCCAACATATCCTTCGTCCCTACAATAACCCCAAGATATACCCTATTATGATATAGTAGTTTCCATTTTCTTTCCCATTATCCCTATAATCCGCATATATAGCCTACATCATATAGTCGTTTCATAGGCGTTTCCATTTTCTTTATTCCTATACTACAATTCACCAGCCGCGCTGCCATGCCCAAAGCCCAGGACATGCGGGACAAGGAGGAGTGGCTCGACAAAGTCCTTCGGGAGAGCGGTACTGACCAGGCAGCGGCGGAGCCAGATGTATTGGTCACCTAAACTTACTGGTGGCTAGTAGGAAACAAGGGAATATATATGTATATATGTATATTCTAGACGGGTTATATAGGGAATATATTCATTTATTTCCTACGATCAACCAGTATATCAGTAAAGTCGACACTTCCTGTTGCGAGCAGAGTTGCATCAGCGAGGACCTCACGCTGAAGCCAAGCCCCATCTGAACAAGCAGTGTACCAGGCCATCGTTTTCGTTAACACGAAGCGGATGTGCTCCTTGGTCTGTTTTAGCCAGCCGGCTCTGGGATGTAGATGCTCCATGAGGGTTCCCAAACTTAGGGGTAGTTTTTTGGGGCTCCCCATAACAAGGATTATAGTATATTGGGGTCTATATTGGGGTCCCTCCCATTTGGGGAAACTGAAGGACCTTAGCCCCAACCAGACAAATTTCCAGGGCGCACCAGGCCCAAACCTTGCCCTCCTGACAGCAGAAAATCCTTTGGTAGTTTCCCGAAAACAGAGGGAGAACCATGTAGACGCCAATATACAATAATCCGTGTTATGGGGACCCCCGAAAAAAGTACACCGAATTTCGGGAAACCCGCATTCCTTGCCTGTGCCGAGGCGAGGTCGTGTCCCTGCGGACCCCAAACAGCATGGCCATCCACGGTGACAAGGCAGAATTGCATTTGCAGCAGCGATAGCTGTGCAAGGGAGGCCGTTGCGATATGTTATCAGAACGAGAAGAAGTATAGTTGTGCAAAGAAGCTCCAACACAAGTAGAAAAATGATAGACCTAATGAATAGTAGTAGTGATATTCTTAATTCGCAGAAAGAGGGGTCCCCTTCTCAGCCCCATCTTGACAATGGCAATCTGCTCAGACATATGGCGTACTCCTATATAGCCGTATATAACCCTAAGCCCCAAACCCCCAAACCCTACACCCCAAACTCCTTAAACCCTAAATGCTATTTAAACTCAAAATCCTAAACCCCAAGCCCTAAACCCAAAACCCTAAACCCAGAACCCTAAACCCCAGCCCAATGATCATAGACTCACAGTGCCCCTTCTTGGTTAGGACCAGCGGGAGCGGGACTTGGCGCTGGGCCAGCAGCCGGGCTTTGATTTAAGGAATCCCGGGGTTTAGGGCTTGAGAGGGTTTGGGGTTAAGGGTGAACGGTTTGGGGTTTAGGGCTTGGGGTTAGAGTTTGGGGTTTCGGGATTTTCAAATCTGTTGCATTTGCTTCTCATGTATACTGAGAGTTCTTTACTGTCGAGTTTCTTGTCAGCCCCAAGTGGGTAGACTGTGTTCTTGCCAGTATGTCTTCGATCACGTAAGATATCACTAAGCCCGAAGCCTCAAGCCTTACATCCGACAAAGAATCAGTGATAAGAGATTACCTAAACTCCAAGCCTCGATCCAGGTTCAAATCCGGCACAGTGCGGGTTCTTGTGGCCACGGACGTAGCAGCACGCGGTCTGGACATCAAGGCGCCGCTGACATGTTGTGGGCTTCGGGTCTAGGAGTTTAGGGTTTCGGGTTTAGATAGGGAACCAGGGCCCAGGGCCAACAACCCTAAACCCTGAACTCTAAGCCCTAACAAAGAAGACTCAGAGAACCCCTAGGTTCTGATATGATTAGTTAAGTTCCTTTGAAGAAGCTGCATGGAGGGATATGAGATGATATTGTGCCTGCACTATAGAGATCACATGGGGTTATAGGGGGGTTATAAGATATTGGCGAGCCAATGACTTGGACTCTACTGCGGCAAGCCTTTCAATTCAGCAGACTTTCATTTTCATGCCGATGAAGGGTGTTGTCATCCTCGGTGGTGCATCGCATCAGCGCAGGAGCACACATGGCAGTTTT